CTGTTGCACTTTTTGTTTGGATAATTTATATGTTGTCATTCTAATAAAGTTCTTCCCTCACTCTCCTGACTGTGATGGAAAACCATGAAAGAAATAAATATTGTCATCCAATAAAAGATCTCAAGCTTTTGCACATTCATCTGACCAAAACAAAATGAAAACCATGAAGACATGAAAACCCTTATCTAGAAAAACACAAGTAAACCCTTAATATTTGCATTTGTTGATGTACAAAATCGGGTCGATCTTGGACCATTGTAAATCATACGCACAAGAATACAAAGCTATATCGTGGTTCATCCCAAGTTGAGGCTATGTCCACACTGGTGTCTATCCGGTTTCACTATGTAAATTGAGGACTACAATGTACATGGAGGTTATTGAGGCTCGGGTTTGCTCTCTTTACTATCCTCCCAAAGTAGGGGTGAAGGATCTCTTTTATAGAGCGAGAGTTTCCTTCACCTCTTACTTGCATCATGGGCTAAATAATGAGGTCCAAATATTGAGGTTTAGTATATGGTACAACAACAATGTCTTCGATATGGATGATGACATTATATTTGTACTGTATTTGATTATCTCTCCTCTTGACGATATCTCCACTAACTCACTTGTTTATCAAATATTGATTACATATCGTTAATATAAATATAAAGATGTTGATCTTGTCGAGTGTGTATGAGTAAGTTTTTGTGTTTATCTAAGGTTACTTGTTAATAGAAATGTAAGATTACTCGTAGTTTGTAGATTAGTTTTTTTAGTTGGTGTTTAAACTTTACTTGTATACCCTATGATATGGTACATTATCCCCCTGTCAATTAAAATCACATATTCATGCACAAATTCCTCCAATTAAGATTAGTTTTTATTTTTTTTTTTTTTTATTTTTTTTTTTTTTTAGATTAGGTGATTAGTGTTGTAAAGACATGCAATCAATGTCCCTTAACTATCTTTTTTAGGATAAACTCTCAACATGCCCTTCAAATGTACTTACTTTTCAAATCTAACATGTGGACCACATACAATAGATGACGTGAAGCATGTTTGAGTATTGAACTTTCACACATGGCCCAACATACTTTACTAGAAGGAAGTTGAAATTAAGTCATAAATCCAATTGGCCTTAAAGCAAAATAACACAATTTCTTATAAGCACATGTAAGGTCTCTTAATTCTCGAATTTGACATTCATTCTCAAGACAAACTGTCTTGTTGTGGGCTTAGATCCTAAACCATTTTGTTTATTGGGAAAAAGAAGATTTTATAGTTGACCCAACATAGGATTAACAAACTTTTACTATCTGAATATACTAATTAGAACTATTCATTCTCTTTATCATCATCTACAGATCATATATGCAAAAGAATCATTCAAATCTAACATGTGGACCACATACAATAGATGACGTGAAGCATGTTTGAGTATTGAACTTTCACACATGGCCCAACATACTTTACTAGAAGGAAGTTGAAATTAAGTCATAAATCCAATTGTCCTTAAAGCAAAGTAACACAATTTCTTATAAGCACATGTAAGGTCTCTTAATTCTCGAATTTGACATTCATTCTCAAGACAAACTGTCTTGTTGTGGGCTTAGATCCTAAACCATTTTGTTTATTGGGAAAAAGAAGATTTTATAGTTGACCCAACATAGGATTAACAAACTTTTACTATCTGAATATACTAATTAGAACTATTCATTCTCTTTATCATCATCTACAGATCATATATGCAAAAGAATCATTCAATTTGAGAGTTTTCGATGATGATAAAGAGAATGAACGGTTCCTATTATAGTGTTTAGAGAGTAAAAGTTCGTTAATCGCAGTGGCAGAGCCAAAACTTTATTGCAATAGGGGCAAAATTAAGAAATATTCAAATCTTGAGTACAAATAATTTCATCCACAAAATATTGTCAAATTATCATACTTGTGCATATATGTTTTTTATATTCACTTTTCCTATATACAATGTGAGGCTAATGGATTCTAAGTAGATATTGTTAGTGCGGTAGTAAATTTCCGCCGTCTTTAGTCTTAACGAAAAAGTACCTACAAAACAATCAACACCTTTGATCAAAGGCCAAAGCCTCATGCACCCACGAGGAGGAAGGGGGGGTTTGTGTGGTTTGGCCAATGGATCTCCAATGCCTAAGTTAGTTTCTCTAAAAAGAATGAGTTTTTAGGGCTTGCATGTGTAATAAAAGCTTACCAAATTTTTTTGGAGATGAAGGTATTCATAGGAGGGTGTGGCCAGCCTAGGTGTTAGGGTTTTGCACCTACACATTGCGGCATCCTATTAACCAAGGTATGTAATCTGTTGGGTGAATGACGAAAGAATAATCCCAAGATATTAATTAGGAGATAATATGTTGGGATAATGGTGGAAGTATCCCTAATTGATTGAAATACGTATTACTTACTTGATAGAGTTGATATTCAATTGAGAATGTATTAAACATATGATTTAGTAATTAATTCTATCTTTAATGTCTTTGACTCTTTCATGCCCCGAGCAGGGGAGCTTTGGGCAACCATAGTCCGCTGCTTGCACTTCTAGGATGCTAAGTTGCACGTGGGAATATAAGTGTGCCCTATTCATTTAATGAGAGCAATCTTGTATTTCTTAAGCAAAAGTCCACGTGTCACCTCCAAGATTTTTGAGATTATTTTTGGCTCCACAATTAGTACTTCACCTATCTAAGCAAATTATCTACCTCATATATTATTGGATAATACTAGCGTTCGCTCTTTCCCTTGTGAATAATTTATCTTGACCTAAAAATTTCATAATTGAAACCGTTCAACTTCTTATTCTTTCATTTTGAAGATCACCCCTACAAAAAATCATTTCAATTAGAGATCATTTAGTCATTCAAGTGTATTAAACAAATCGAGGTATAGGTACCAAGTAACATATTCATGACGAACCATCCATTTATTTCATTCGTTTGAATGATTAAATGATCTTTAATTTTAATGATTTTTTGTAGAAGTAAGCTTCAAATGAAGATTAATAAATTGAATGGTTATGTTCGTTGATTTTATTCGGTCAAGATACGTTAAATGAGGGATATACATGCATCCACATGGAGGTTGCATGTATTATCTTATATTATTTTGACCCTAAATACACATATTCCATATCTAATACATATCTTTGGTACGTACATTTTAACGGAAATAAAGAACATATCGTTAATTACCTGCAAAAGCACATAATTGGGGTCAAATACTAATATTTAGGGGAAGAAAATTGACCTTATGCATCCAACGGCTTGCGGCCCCCTCTCCGCTTCGCCACTAGTTATGGTAAGGGGAGGAACAAATAAGTCTTCCCATGAAGAGACACAAGCATTATCAATGGAGAAATGTACCATGAAAGCAATAACTATAAATAATCCATTTCTCAAATATTCACCCCCGCTGTTTGAAACATCAAAGTTTGCACCACATGGAGCGCACTCCCAACAAGATCCAATATTTCTGCTTCTTGGTGGAGCAACAAAGCGATCAACAAGTAAATGTCCATCATAAAAGGAAGACCAATTCCAAATGCTAAAATACTTAAACTATACAAATTCATATAAATTCCTTTACCGAGAAAAGTTCAATATAGGTTGTTCGTTGAACCATAATTCTTTGATGACCGACCACCAACTACTACTCGGGCAAATTTGACTTTTAATTCTGAAATTTAAGCCATCAGAGTCTCCTATGTATATGGTCTGGATAAATTAAAAATAATACTTGGATATATACTAAAAAACAAGTAAGATTTCTTACACAAAAAACTTTTTTGGCCACTTCGTGCTTATGACCAGAATCGGTTATATTATAAATTATTTTGTAAAGATTTATTTCTGAAAAAATTTAATTAAAATTGAGTATATTTAATCAGTTAACTGTAGTAAATAGATAAATGTTTCGTAATGTTGTAGTTAATTGACTAAACAAACCCTCCATTTGCTACATTTGATTGATTACGCAATCTTATTTTTAAGTAGTTTTTTTGTAAAAATAATTTTTATAGATGGATTTATTATATGACTGGTTCCCCATAAGCACCATGTTATATGAATCGGCCATGAAGATTCTTTTTGGAGGGATTCCTACTATTTTTTTTTAGTAGCCAAATATTATTAGCAAACTAGTAAAAAAAAACTTTGCGCGACGTAGGTACTTTCGTCGCGCAAAGTAAAAAATCGTTGCCTAAGGGTTTGCGCGACGCGAGACGCTAGGGTTTGCGCGACGTCCCACGACATGCGTCGCGCAAAGTAGGTTTGCGCGACCAACGGAGTGCATCGCGCAAATCCACTTTGCACGACCCACTTTGTGCGTCGCGCAAACTCACTTTGCGCGACGCACTGCGTTGGTCGCGCAAACTCACTTTGCACTACCCACTTTGTGCGTCACGCAAACCCACTTTGCGTGACGAACGGAGTGCGTCGCGCAAACCCACTTTGCGCGACCCACTTTGTGCGTCGTGCAAACCCACTTTGCGCGACCCACTTTGTGCGTCGCGCAAACCCACTTTGCACGACCGACGAGTGCGTCACGCAAACCCACTTTGCGCGACGTACGCATGAGTCACGCAAAGTGGGTTTGCGTGACACACTCGTTGGTCGTGCAAAGTGGTTTGCGCGACGCAAAGTGGGGAGTAGTTTTGGTCAAACTTTTTTTTTTTTTTAATTTTTAATAAATATTGTAATTAAATTCGAAAGAATAATTAATTAACCAGGCAAAAGTATTTAATTATAAAATTTATGAAAATGTACATACAAGATCCGAACAAAAAAGAAAAAACTAAAAGTGAACTAGGTTTAATACATCAAGCTACTAGGTATCAGCAGGGCGAGGTGGCTCTGAGGTCGAAGGTGGACCAAGATGAGGTGCTGGTAGTGAGATTTGAAGGCTGGACATCTGTATGGCTTGTACAAGGTCTCTCCACGCCCCGGCATATGACCTCATCTCCTCGCCCTGGGCCCTTAGCTGCTCCTTCATCTGCTCGCCTGGGCCTTTAGGGTTGTCACTTCCTCCTTCAATGCATCTACCTCTGCGTTTGATCTGGAAGAAGAGGCACCCGTTTCACGAATCTGTGCTTTCCCCATACACCAAACAACCTTGCCACGACGACGACCTAAGTTCTGATCCAGGACATCAGTCATGATCTGAAAACCTACATCCTCAGGTATTGTGACGTCCTCGATCGGGGTCTCCGGGGGAAGCTGCGATGTTGCTTCTTGGAGAACAGAAGTGCTCTTTTCCACCATAGTAGCCTATAATAATAAAGAAAAAACATATAATGTTTAATAACAAAATATAAATAATATTTGAATGATTCATACATATAAGAATAATAATAATTACATATACTTACATGAAACTGCTCAGTAATCTCCTGACCAGGTCGAACGTAAACGTCCTTGAACATGTCGATTGCTGGGAACTTAGAACCCTCCTGAAGAAAAAAAACAGTAAGAAAATTTTATTAATCAATAATAATAATAAATTGTATAAAATTTCAAAGTTAATATACTTTTACCTGACGTCGTGTCTGAAGCCTATACGAAAAGGGCTTCGAACCGGAATGGTGGAGAAGTGTCTTTGACTCACGAGCTTTTTGGCCAGCAACAGATTTCTTCTGTTAAACACACAATATACATGTTAGTGCAACTATTTGAAATAAATTAATAAAAAAAGCTTAAAAATAACTAAAACAATAATAAATTATTATTAAAATATTATGTACATACCACAAATTTTGGGTCCGTAAAATGTTTGCAGAGCCACTCCCAATCATCTGGCCGGTCCTTTAACTTGCTTGGAACATGTAGGCGAGCAATCTCTGGATCATCCCATCGCTTAAAAAACGTGTGAAAAGTGCTCTTCCAATTTTTGTACCGGTTTGCTAAGGTCTCCTCTAAGTAGTTCATGACCTCAAGGGATATGTCCTCAAGATCATAAATGACCTACGAATATGAAAAACAATAAAATAATAGTAAGAAATTTAATAATATTAAGATAATATATTTTGGTTTTTAATATTTGTAAACAAAATTAAAAAAATGATAAAGGCTAAAAATTAATATACTAACCGACAACTCGTGTCGCACCATTCTCTTCGTCTCCTCGGGAATTTCTGCCCAAGACTCCCACTGAAAAGGACAATTGTCTCGAATAACAACACCACAGCTACTAGCAATGAAGCTATGTTGCTGTGAGGTAGCTGCTCCACGATGTTGCGCGTCATACGCAATCTTGATCTTGGAGGCGGCCTGTCGTGCGCTCTGTGACTGCTTCAGCATTCGACTAGGCCCTCTGGTGTTTTTTTTAGCTGGCCAAAAATACTTAAATGGTGAAATCCCAAAGCTTAAATTTGTAAAAAAAATTCGACACAACCTTCCTTAATAGTATAGCATTTTCCAAAACCTTAAAATAATAAAATAACATTAATTCACAACCAGCAACAGATTTTCACAATCCAGCAAATTTTCACCATCATAAAAATAATAGTTTTAAAATGAAAAAAAAATACAGCGTAGTGAGAATTAGAAAAAAACTACCTGGATGAGAGGCCTCACACTCGACTCTGGATTCCGAAGAAGTGTGATCAGAAGGTTCCGGCTCACGGCGCCGCCGATGAGGCCGCCGTGCACTGAGCTGCTCAACTGACACTGATGACGTCGATGATACGGGCACCTGGGACGCCGTAGGAGTGGCCTCAGCAAAGGGTGTAGGCTCGCTAATTAATGGAGCACTCACGGCTGGAGCCGTAGATGCTGATAATGCAGGAGGTGCATTGGTCACACTCCGACGACGAGTGATCAACTGCGACATCTATACACTTATTCAACCATAAAAATATAACATTAGAAACTAATCCTACAACATTTTTCTTAAATGCAACAGATAATGTTGTGGGTTTCATGACAAGGTAAATGCAACAGAAAAACTCACATCAAGCTTTCAAGAAGGATTATAACCCTGGAGTATCAATATTTCTCTTACAGTTTTCAACCTTATCATATTTCTCAAATGCAATTGTGATCCTAGAAAAGGAAAATGCGATTGTAACTATACAACGTATTAACTGAGCACAATGTAGGAAACCAGGAAACGATGGGGTACATATTCAAATAACCTATAGATATATGAGAGTCCAATCTAACTTAAACATCAAAACTAACATTTCAAATTCATCACCATTTCCATCACAAGCATCAGCTTTCAAATCTGACCTTACGGAGAGTCAATGCGTCAATACATGCACCACCCACTTGGTCCATTAGAGAAAAATGATAGGCAAAAAGAAATGGGATGGCCCAAAATCATGAGAAACCTATTCATATCCATTTCAAAACTATTTTCCCATGACAGAAAGAGGACGACATAATTCTCAAATGCAAACTACTTAACAATAAACTCATTATGGTGTCAATGCTGTAAGTGGGTGTATATGCTGGTGGTGCATTTGCCAAGCATGTAAATGGACAACAATAATCCAACTCAATCAAAGCTGTTGAGGCATTTCAATATGACAAGAGTGTTGAGGCATTTCAATATGACAGAGTGTTGCACATCAGCATGTAAATAAAAAATACAACATCAATTCATGACATGAGTGTTGAACATCATCTATGTGAGAAATACATTCAATATAACAAAGTGTTGCCTTGACGATGCAAACCCCATGACACAAAGTTTTTCAAGATTTGAGGCATTGACAAATAAATAGTTTGACAACTCTGTATCTTTCACAGTTGTTCTTAAAGTCTTTAATTCAGGAGCAAATATGTTGAAATTCATTGCATCTCTTCCAAAAAATGGATGTATATCCAAATCTTCAAGAACAAGGGAGTTACAGAAAAGCTTTTCCAATGAGGTATCACCTAATACAAGATCTATAATAACATGAAGCAACTTGAGACTTGGGAAACAACAACGCAATGTCGCAGGAAACCCAAAAATTTCACTAAAAAGCCCAATTATATTTGGAAGCTTAGTCATTATATATTCGTAGCAAACCAAGCTCAAATTCATGAGTAGAGTGCAAAATGAGGAGTATGCAAATTCACATTCATACCATGCCAAAAGGAATGATTCATAATTCGGATATTCGAAAAAATTCACACTAAGCCCATGCAAAACCATGTGTATTGATCATGCCAAGCCAAATTGAAATAAGTTCATAATGTCTTAGTCAATGAACATTAGTAACTAGGGACCAAATACTAATTTTTCCTTTATTCAATTCAAAGATTACAAAAATAGAGTAGTGAAAAAAAGGAGTGGAAATTCTTTTAATTTTTTTGTTACAAGGGGAGCTTAGAGGGTAGGAAAAAAGTTAAACAAAGAAAAACATCAACCTTAACGGTTTACACCGCGACTCTAACAGGATTATCCAGAAGTAATTGATAATGAACAGAGTAGGTTCATAGAACACAATACACTCAACGTCCACATAAAACTGAGCTTCACCTAACCATCAACCATCATGTTTCTTTCAAGATATGACTCAATCCACATCAGCCAAACTGAGAAATCAAATGTTGACAGCCATATAACAAGCCAAAGATTGTAAAAGTTGCACCGCACCTTTGAAAAGGGACAATTGAAAGAGTTTTATTAATTATGTAAAAAGAAAAAGGAAAAACGGTTTTGGGACAGTTGAAATGACCCCTTTCCTTACAAACCAACCAAAAGGCCCACAACTCTAATTTCACACGGGAGGTTATGAGAGATATCCCAACCCCTTTCCTTGCAAACCAACCAAAATGCTTCAAACACAACCAATTTGCCTAGATTTATGGGTTGACAAAGTCTGACCTTGGGGTGCACACCTCATTTTAACTTGGTGGACGAACTTTAGCATTTGAAGCTCGCGCAGGAAATCAAGGAAGAAAATGGAGAAGGTAGCCAAAGATGGAGCGGGATTTGGTGCAAGCAAAGGGAAATTTGGGCAAAATGATAAACTTAGCCTTCACAAGGCTACTAACTCTCTACAGTACTATCCCAAAGAGGCATGATGGAAAAAGAGAAATATACAATAATTTAGCACAAACAAGTTAATAAAAATCCATGGAGGAATAATCCAACTTAATCAAAGTTGTTGAGGCATTTCGTCAAACAGGTTAGGGACAACAATTTAGCACAAACAAGTCCATGGAGGAATATACAATATACTCTATCTTCCAAGTGCTAAATTTCATAAACCCTAAATTAATTCCAAAATTTACCTGATTTGGGGGAGAACCGATGAACAGTGAGATCGAAAAAGAAATCAGCGATGTGGGAGGAAGTGAGGGATGAGAGGTGAGTCACTTGTCTGATGTGGGAGGAGGAGAGAAATCGGCTCACTTCTGTTCGAGGAACAGAACTAACAGCTCCTTGGAGAACAAAACTAACATCAGAAATGGAGGAGCTGCAATGTTGCTCCTTGGAGAACAGAAGTGAGTTAAAAAATTCTTGGAGGGTGAGGAGGGTCTGAGATTTGAGGGATGAGAAGTGAGCGTCCAAACTTGGACAAAGTGAAGGATGAAAGATGAGCATCCAAACTTAGAAGGGAAATAAAATTAGAAATTTGAAAAAAAAAAAAAGCGCCTTTTTTTTACTATTGCACCGCCAAAATTATCACAACTGGCGCGATGTAGGTATACAATTTGACGTCACGCAAAGTGGTTTTGCGCGACGATCACATTAAGGCGTCGCGCAAAGTTTTTTTTTTTTTTTTTAATTATTATAAAAATTACTGAAAATGTGACTTTCTTCCTTTGAAATTCAAATTTTTTTTTTACATAAACCCCACTATAATATATTTTTCTAACAAATGTGGTTTGATGTTATACGTATACAAGATGGAATTCATTGATAAATGTGGTTGAATGTGGAATTCATTGATAAATGTGGAATTCATTGATAAATGTGGAAATTTTTTTTTTTTTACATTATATCGCACTTTTGTGTTAATAACTCGTTCATTGATAAATGTGGTTGGATGTTATACGTATACAAGATGGAATTCATATCATGCATTGCAATTATGAGAGGCATGAGTCGTGTGAGTTACATGGGGTTGTATCGTGATGGATTGGAATGAAAATTGTGATAACGATGGTGCGTGAACGAATGTGTCATGGGTGGTAATTCATATAACAAGACATACTCGAGGCCAAGGCACGGTACGGGACGTGCGAGGCTTGTGTGTTTTGGTGTGTAGATTAACAAGAACGGATGCGGGAATGATGGAACATTCATGCATAGAGAACCGAGAATGATGGAACATTCATGCATAGAGAAACAAAAAAAGAGAAATTTGCCGCACCCATCATATTCCGTCTTAATTTTCTGTTTAAAAGTTGTAAAGGTACCCTAAACTCCCGCACTCCCGCACTGGTAACACGAATATTGAGCAAGGTCAATAACATCATCACTTAAAATTTTGATGATTTTTCTACTAGTGCTACAGTTTACCCTCCGTACAAAATTAGCAAGGTCAATAAGTAAAATCTTGAGTATAACCAAAAGTATATTCTCTCTATCAGATATGCCCTTGCTACACGGTAGAGAGTCAATGACTGGGTCAACGAAATTTCCTGCCTATTTGCGGCTTAGTTACAGTAAGATCTGTGTATAATGTTTGGCCGCAATATATCTTCATGTCACACTGCATATCTCTCTCTCATTCAAGTAAGAATAAAAGTTCTACAAATCAATGACATGAAAAGTTATGGATTTTTAAACAAGGTATATCAAACTATACACCCAAAGCAAATCATTTACACGGTTGCAATTCGTAGTTCCTAATCGTTCTTCAATCCATCGGAAGCACGAAATTAGTATTCAAACGAGCAACTTTCTTTCTTCAATCCCACACTTTTGCTCCTTAGAATTTATCCTTACCAATGAGCCACAACCAGTCAAGGCAAACCCCTGCAAATATGCCTCCCAAAAGAAACAGAACAAGTATATTTCCCAAGGCATTTTGCTCAGGTCCCTGCAAATCAAACAACCAGAAATTAATATTTGCTTTAATATTTGCACAATCTATATTCTGCTTTAATATTTGCACAATATTCAAATCCACATTTATTGATGCTTATGACAAAAAATTTGCTGAAACATCAATTGTGAGATCAGATGAAATATTCAAGAGGAATTGGCACTTGGATATTTGTTATTGTGTGGCCAACCATATCTTAGTCTTCTAATCTGAGGTCTCTATTGGCTTCATTAACTTAAGGCTTCTGTTTTATTTGCACTTATATTTTAGTTTGGCTACTCTTTTTTGTTAGGACCATGAATAACTAGCAAGCTTGGACAAGCCTGGCTGTAAGTGCCTGCTCAAATATACGTGGCACTTCAACTGTTAAGAGATGATCCCTCCATGTGGTCTGATGCCTAAAACCCATACTTCTCTATGATGCTTTAAGGCTCCACTGAATTATTTTCGTCATGCATCTATTGAAGCTTTTACTATTTGGTTTCCCAACTAAACCACTAATCTAAAGCCATAGCCTAAATGCTTTCACCAGAACAGGCACTTGAAACATTTTGATTTCTGTTAGTATAGAACAAGTTGGAGTGGAGATCGCCTCTCCTTGTATAACAAAAATAAAATATGACAATGGGTTATTCAAGGAATACCTGCTAAGATCCCACACCATGAGTCTCCGACCAAGACAACAAGAAGCTAAGATAGTTTCATTCTTTGGATTCCAACCAACTTGGAAAACCTCCTCCCTGAAACACCACGGAAAAAACATTTGATATCAGATCTATAGATGGATTGCAGCTAAGATAATTTAGAACATCCAAACTTATGACATCCAGGGGAGGATCCTTACTTATGACAATCAAAGGTGTGGAGTGCAGTATTGATTTTGCGTAGATCGAACAACTTAACAGTTTTATCAGTAGATCTAGTTGCAACAACCCATTCATTGAAGGGATTGAAAGCCAAACAGTTAACCTGAAAAAAATATCACATAAACAAACTACTCCATAATTGTCCCAACTTTCTAACGATAAATATTCATGTAAAGAACTAACCCATTACAATATCAGATAAAGAAAACTATAAACCTCACAAATTTGCAAAAGTGTAACGGATATATTGTTCTACACAAAGTTTGGAGCTCGAGAGTGTAGAAGAAAATCACAGGAGAGACCTTTGCCCACAAAGATGATTCACATCTAAATACAGCATAACTATCTGCAAGGAACAAAACAACCATTTTAAAATTTCATGAACATTTACACCGAAAGTTGTATACATCATCAATCAGTGAAAATGAGCTGAATCCATGTCTATGAATGACAAAATTTTGAACCTTGTCAGCAAGAGCTCTAGTAAGCGCCTTCTGTCCAATTTCATCCGGCACATTTACCCCAGCCCAACCAATCCACCTTGCCTCAAACTCCTTTACACCTTTGGAAAAAATCATCCAGTACAAATTAGGTTCATAATCTTAAAATGAAAAGGATATCAACACAAAGGAACAGACAGGAACAGACACAAAGGATATCATCCACTAAAAATCTTGTCCCCTATATTAAAATGATACACACAGGAACAGACACTTCGAAAAAGGATTATCAGTATTTAAAGAAGAGTTAAAACACCACATACCCAAAAGTGCACTGACCAGACCCCCTGCACTCATCTCCAGAGACCATGAATCTTCACCTCTTCTAATTGCAGAGACAGGTAACCTGTTCGCCACAACCAACAGTCGTTGTCTGCTAGGCCTCCGGTCTTGGTTTTCGTATCCCTCATTAAGCGCCCTTGCAGCTGCAGCCCCTTCCAAGAAGCGTTCAACATAGGCAGCATTTGAGTTTTCATCTTCTCTTAACTGCAACTCAGGTTCAAATGTTTCATTCAAGTTCAAGGCCTTGTTATTTTTCCTTAGCTCCCTTTCTCTCAAGAGCCGTTCAACTCGAGTTGGTGGGATGTGGGCTGAATTACCGTTGTACTTGTTCCCAGGCATATGCTCTCTCTAGTAATGAACCCTGCCTTCTAACTTTACTAACACAAGCGATCCTTGAACAACTGTGTCCTACATTTCGTTTAAAGCAAACTAAGTCATCAAACATCACCAAGAACAAAAATCTTGTCAATTTTGGATGCCAAGAGCAAAATGAATAACACACTTGGTCAGAATAACATAAGAACATCTCTATAGCAGTTCATGATAATCTTGTCACAGAAACAAAAATGACAAGCAGGTCTACAGAAAAAAATTTAATAAAAATCATCCCAAGAACATGATCCGCAGTAAGAAAAATGGGGTCGACCGTTATCCCCTGGTTTTTTAAAGTAGCAATTTAAAAACTCACATTCATAAAATCAACAAGAAAAAGGTTAAAATCAGGGGACGAGCATTTAAAAACTCACAATCACTACAAAAATCAGAAAGCTCCTCGTTTGATAAGGTAACAAATCTTTATGTTCTTAAAATTAGAAAGCTCCTTCCCTAATGTGTTTGAACTAATATGGACGGTAATTACCTTGGAAGCGGAAGCAATGTGAGGTACCACAACAACATTTTTCAACTCGGCAAGCCCAGGCTTCATGTAAGGCTCATCCTAATGCAACTTCATTCACAAACCACTCAAATATCAGAGATAGCGTTCGAAAAAGGTTGAATACAACAAGGAATTAGGTGTGGTTTTTTACCTCGAAGACATCCAAGCCAACTCGAAACATGCGTGTATCTCTCACATTCATTTATACAAATATACAAGATGATAAGTGGTCTTATCCAGAATTAGGTGAAGGCTTATCTAGAATAAGAATTGGAAACCACACAATTAGAAACGGTTTAAGTAAAACAAAAAAAGAGGGGTAAGGAGAGCGAGAGCCATACCACATCTGCTTCTCGGAGCATCTCCTCCGTGTTTGATGCTGTTTTCCAAGCCATCCATCATATAAGTCGGCCCTCATAAACTCATCCGCTTCAACTATTCTTCTGGCGGCCGATACTGCTGTAGTTTCTACTGTTGATAAGTCAAGACAGTGTTTTTCTAAAGTATTGTGCTTGAAATGCTTCTCTCTAAATTTAATAGTACAAAAGACTTATATGTGAAAAAAGCCAAAAAATATAAAGAGAGTGAAAAACTTACAAGTGTGTTCCCAACAGCAACTCCATACTTGTTTCCTGTTATGACTTTAAACATGAATTTCAATGAATGGGAAAAAGGGTAGAAGGTGAGTTTCATACGATTACATCACCAATAATAATTCATCGCTATCCTTTACAAGTTTATATTAATCCTCATCCGAACTACAATAATAACTCTCGCTATCCTCACTACTATCATTTTTGGATTCCCATTCGTCTTCATCTTCGTTTGCCTCTTCCAGTGCATTGTATTGAGGCAGATCACCAAGGTCAATTGATATTTCGAATTCGGGAACTCCAGGTACGTCAAACGGTTCTTGGACAATATTAGTATCCCGGAGTGTTTCTTCACCAATTTCTATCGAAGATGATAACTGTTGGTCAGCAACGTTGTCGTCATTGTCATCATGATCTACTTCTGGAATATCATATAGCCCTCTTCGATCAATCTTCTGAACAACTTTCCAACCATTGCCGGCTTTAGGGTCGTCTAGATAGAATATTTGTTTCGCCATTGTTGCCAAAATGTATGGGTCTTCATCGTACCAATGTCTCGTAGTGTTTACTGATAGTAGACCATGGTCTCGCGTAACACTTGTTCGGTTATGTGGGTTTGTATCAAACCAAAGACACTTAAATAGTATCACTTGACACCTGTCTTTGTAAAGCAATTGTACTACACTAGTTAGTTTGCCATAAAAATCAATGTCTTCACTGTCGCCCGCACCCGGGACATGAACACCACTATTTTGAGTAGACAACTTGTCATCACGTGTTACCCCTAAGAACTTGATCCCGTTGACATGACAACCTGAGAACAATTCAACGTGAAGCGGTCATCTCACCAAGTTATATAATTCTTCATCGTAAGAGGGTGAATTCAAGGCCTTCAATTTGTTCATCTAATATAACATATACAAAAAGTTAACCTGTTAGTGTAACCAAATTTAAAGACGGGCATGAACAAGTTGGAAAATATGCTCAATTCAAACCACATACAACTTACATGTGTGTGAAACCATGAAGGAAACAAATCACGGTGCTTCTTGGCATATAAATGTGAAGGATGTTCCCGCTTCATCAATTGTTCATGCTCTTCAAGGTATGGCAAAGCATCATCACAATTGTTAAGTATGAACCAATGTGCTATCTCCATGTTCTTTTTGGTAAATGATTCACCTTTTACACGATCGCCGAATGGTCGTGCAATTTGGGCAAAAATAGACAGTTTCTCTTTTCTGACACCACCGTCATTATTGCGTTGAGGACGATTGAAAGTTGTCTCAACATCTTCAAGATACATTGCACAAAAAGTAAGTGACTCATATGCGACCCATGCCTCCACAAGTGATCCTTCGGGCTTTGCCCTGTTTCGAACACACTTTTTCAACTCACCAAGATATCTGCACAAATAAAAGGTATGCTACAAATAATTCAAAGTGTTCGTTGATCATGAATCTGTTATATATATAGACGCTTAATTAAGTACCTTTCTATTGGATACATCCATCGACAGTTCACTGGTCCGGCAAGCAATGCCTCATCTGGCAAGTGAATCATCACGTGAATCATACTTGTAAAGAAAGCTGGGGGAAATATCTGTTCGAACTTGCATAAAACGTTCACAATCTCGTCCTGCAATTGTTTAACATCCGACTTCCGCAAACACCTTGCAGTCAATTGCGAAAAAAATCTCGACAACAACACGATTGGTTTCACCACATCAAGAGGCAATAAGTGTCGAATACCAACCGGAAGAAGGCGTTGTAGTATCACATGACAGTCATGACTCTTCATGTTTGAAAATTTACACCCCCTCATGTTCACGCAACGCGAGATATTAGAAGCATACCCATCTGGAAACTTTATAGAAGAAATAAAGTTGAAAAACTCTTTTTTCCCATTCGGCTTAACTGTAAAAAAAGGATGGCCTTTCTTCAATGTACCACCAACTCTCTTCATCCACAAGGATGACCTAATGCCCATTCGTTCCAAATCGAGGCGAGCTTCGATCGTGTCCTTCGTTTTTCCTTCAATGTCTAGAATTGTCCCGACCAAAGTATCAAACACATTTTTCTCAATATGCATAACATCGAGGTTGTGTCTCATTTTTAACTTTGACCAGTACGGGAGCTCAAATAACATACTCTTGTGCGTCCAGTTCAGATGTGTAGTTGGTCTAGGCTTACTGATCCCTTTGCCGAAATGACCAAATTCCAAACAGTTTAATTGATCCAAAATCTCATCTTCGGACCATTCTCTTGGTCTTGGCTGAGTCTCTTTTGTGCCATGGAAAGCTTTATCGTTCTGACGCCACTCGTTGTCCCAAGGAAGCCATCTACGATGACCAAGATAACAAACTTTTCTTGCATGCCAAGAAGATGTTACGTTCTCCTTGCATATTGGACATGCCAAATAACCCTTAGTCATCCACCCAGAAACCATTGCATATGCGGGAAAATCGTTTACTGTCCACATCACTGCCGCTCGCATGGTAAACATTTGCCCAGTATACTTATCGTACGTACAAACACCGTTTTCCCATAAATCTTTTAGCTCATCAACCAACGGCCGCAAATAAACATCAATGGACTTTCCTGGATCTTCAGTAATTAATAGAGTCAACATCATGTATTCTTTTTTCATGCACTTCCAAGGCGGCAGATTATAAGGAAATACGACAACCGGCCAAGTGCTGTGGATTTGATTTAAAACCCCGAACGGATAAAATCCGTCAATGGCAAGTCCCAATCTGACGTTGCGCGGGTTAGCTGCAAAATCAGGGTACATCCGATCGAATGCTTTCCATGCCTCTCCATCTGCAGGATGCCTCATAACATCATCATTTACTCATCCTTCTTTATGCCATCTCATGTCGGTTGCGGTATGCATCGACATGTACAATCGCTGCAACCTAGGCTTCAATGGAAGATAACGCATTACTTTTTGTGGAATCTTGGTCTTTCTATTCTGTGATGTCATTTTAAACCTCGGCTCATTGCAGACAGGGCATTTATCCAATTGTTTGTTCTCTTTATAAAACAATATACAATTATTTACACATGCGTGAATTTTTTCATACCCTAATCCGAGACCCTTCAACACTTTTTGGGCACTTTTATGATCTTCAGGTAAACAATTCTCCTTTGGAAGCATCCTCTTGATAACTCCCAAAAAATAATCAAAACACTTGTTTGACAAACGAAACTTGATCTTGCCATGCATCAACTCCACAATTGCTGTGAGCACCGAAAAGTTCTCGCAACCCGGATATAATTCTTGCTTCGCATTTTTCAATAGTTTTTCATAGTTTTTGAATGCCTCACTATCCATGGTTGGACAACCGTCATCTCCCCCTTCCTGATTGGTGTTACTCGAGGCATATGGATAAACGTCATTTAGAATATTCATAACTTGTTCATTAGGATCCACATTAGATTCAACAGTCTCCACTCGTGTCACGTATGAAGACGAAGCTTGGTCTAATCGTTCTCCATGATGATACCAAGTAGTATACGTCTCCATCATCCCATTTCTTACTAAATGAAATCGAACATTCGAGAATGTCTCCCACATTGAGTTGTTACACCTCCTACACGGACATCGGATATGAGTTGAACCTATGTTATGACTAGTTGCGAATTCAATGAACTTTTCTATTCCATCCAAGTACTCAACATCACATCTATTATGATTATGTATCCACTGTCTGTCCATTTTGTCTGCAATCCCAATAAAATGACAAGAATTACAACAAATTTAACTATTGTCTTGTCACCTTATTCCTCCGGTAAGGGCTCTATCCCATTCAGGAATGCACAGTTATGTGCCGTAATTTACGATTCCAATGGATTAAATTTCGACATGGGTTAATTTTGGCAGCATCTCCTTATAGTTCTTGAAGTGCACGCCGTAGATACATAATATCCACCGTGTACTCGAAGAACATCAGGAAATGTTACCAAAATTTCCATTATCGAAACCTAATCCATGAACCGCAAACTACAACACATAACTATGCATTCCCAAACTGTCCAAAAAATGGGACAATTCAAGAATTAATTGGACCGCAGTCATGCTTTCGCATCCATGCACGAAATCTAACTAATTCTCAAACGGGAAACTAAGCTTTTCTTGAAAAAAAAAATTGTACGAAGTTAAGTAATATTAACTTCGTACAACACAAAACAATTTTGCAGGTGATGTACAAAAATATGTGCATACAAATAAACTAAATCACAATAATTACTAAAACTAAATAAAATAAAATAAATTAATAAAAATTAATATAGCGAAGAAAATAAAGTGATTTACGTACACTGTGACATCTCAAATCTGAATTGCGGCCAAACCTACAACTCCTCCACCACCCACAACTAACAGCCGTTGGCTGTAGAGATAAGATGCAATAACAAAAGGATGCAAAATTGTTAATGACATCTTCCACCGAGATAAGATACAATAATCAAATCCCTACACCAAAATAATATAAAGCTTCAGCTGCCTCTCAATCCATGTTTCTCAAAGACACAGCATCAAAAATAAATGTCATACGTTCTTTTATACCTTTTACCTAAAAAATGCTGGGAAGATGGTAAAAGTTTGGACACAAAAGTTCAACATCTCTAGTATAGTGAAACAAATTTCATTACTGAAAGAAACATTTACCCCCATGTGAAAACGATAACAGCTTTTGCAATCGAAAAAAAGAAAGAAAATGACAATGGCTTCCTGATGACAACAGCTTTAACAGAAGAATCATGATACATCAAAGGAAGGAAGTTAATATCCGAGATAACATACCCCTTAGCTTTCCTAGCAGTACTTACGAGGGCTCACCAAGCAGTCAGAGAAGCAAAAGGAATGGCACTAGCTTCCTAGAATCACATAGTAAGATAAAGCCAAATTGAGTTGCCACACAGCAATAACAGGAATGAGAAGTTAAAAACTCTCATCTACATAACATCTCACCATGAATTCCTAACATCTCACCATTGTTGTCAATTCTTTCATGAATTCCTAATAACAGAAATCATGAAAGAATTGATAATAATGGGTGTAGAAATAGAAAAAAAAAAAAAAAAATCAACAAAGGATTCGATATTTCCTCTTATTGCTATATGTCCATTTCCACAAAGCAACGTGCTGCTTAATAATTGTAGCTTGATTAACTCTAAGTTCCATTTCATAACAAGTAGTTTTTACTTCAGTTCATCCAACCAATCTAAGATAAAAAAAAACTGTTTTTTCTTCTTTTTCAGCTAAGCAAGGTGGAAAATTCAAATTAAAAATGAATTAATAAAAAATTTAAGCTCCAAATGTACATTATTCAGACAAATGAACACAATCATACCACTAACACACTCAAAAGCATCATTACATTATAAAAGCAGCTAAATAACTAGAACAGTATGTGTGTGTGTGTGTGTGTGTGTGTATTGCTACAAATGAACACAATCATTACATTATATTGCTATAAATTTTTAAGTTTTGTTGGAATTGGAGGAACAAAACAGAGAGAGGAGCAAACAATAAAATGATCATTTCCCTCATTTTCTCCGCAAACAAACAGAACTTAGAAATGGGATCAATCTAAAAACAAGGTGAAATTTGACTCACTTTGATATCAACGGGATTGATTGGAGAAGGTTTTGAAGAGAGATGGAGAAGGGAGGTAGCTACTGCAACTGGGTTTGCAGTTTCTGCCTCCCAAACTGATTAAGTGGAGTAGGAAAAGTCGTTGACTTTGCGCGACGCATGTGTACGTACGTCGTGCAAAACAACTTTGCGCGACGCATATGCACATGCGTCGCGCAAAGTTGGCAAAAAAGCGGTAAAACATTCTTTGTTTGGCGCCAAGATATTGCGCGACGTACAAAACGTCGCGCAAACGGCATTTGCGCGACGGTACTTTGCGCGACGAAGGCTGGCGTCATGCAAAGTGTTTTGCGTGACGCACAAGTTCCTAGGTCGCGCAAAGAGGTTTTGCGCGACGCTAGAATTTCGTCGCGCAAAGGATGTTTGCGCGACGCTTTGTCTTTTAGGTCGCGCAAACATACTTTGCGCGACGAAATTTGGTGCGTCGCGCAAACATGTTTTTCTACTAGTAAATTAATTGTTTTAGCAATATTTCTCCTAAGTTGATTAATTGAGGTTAATATTTTTTATGTTAAATTCCTTTCAAAAAAGTTTAAGTAACTTATAAAAATAGACATACCTACAAATTAGTAAATGAATGATTAAGCTTAAAAACTCTTTATTATGTATGAACACTTTTAGGCGAGATGTCTAACCTAAACAAATAGAAATCGTCAACTCATTAAAATTGTCTCGTAAAAAAAAAAAAAAAAAAAACTCATTAAAATTGTCTCATAAAATAAAAACTCATTAAAATTGATATATATAATGGTGGATTAACTACAATAAACTCGCAAGTGACTCTTTACCACAGTAGTGAGGAGTGTCGTCATTGTATCATGACGTGGATTCCAACCGCCGTTAAAACTCCCCTAAAAAAATATTAAAAAAAGTCAAATGCGAATAATGTTAAAAGAACTAAAGGGAAGGCGAAGAAGGGATATCACACACATGAAGGAGCACTTACATCGTCGTCCTGGTCAGTGGTGAGTAATAAATCCCCATAAATTGTAGTTTCAATTTAGACGCATGTACTGTTTCTGAATGAATATCGGTTTCGGTAGACTTATGATATGAAAAATCACTGTTTATTTATATGTAGGAGTTTGAGTTTGTTTCGAATCGACAATTTGAAGAGGACGTTGAAGGTCACCGTCAAAGTCGCGGATTGCTACAATGGTAAAGCTTCGCCGTGCTACCATGGCTATTCCAATGGGCAATCAGACCCAGGTTTCTCTTCTTGGGGTCGAGAGCAGCCGACTGAGGGTGGTGGAGAGAGCCGGAGAGAACTTCGAAAATGAGATACCTGAAGATAGTAGATGAACAACATGTCGTTTAAGAACAAAAATAAAAGGAAAAGTGAAAAATGGAGATGCAACTTATTGATCGAACCCCGTACTTGCTTATGTTCCAATGGGTGTCAAACATGCACATATTTGTTTTATTAATGCCAAAAAAACAGTCCAATTGGACTCCAAATAGAAAAATTGAGTAGTGTGAGCATACACAACCAAGACCTCAAATTTAAAATTCAGTTAGAAGTTAGGACCACATCCACAAATCAATTTAAATTGCTCCCCTCCAACAGTGACGCCTGATTTTTCCTAAAGTTGGAATTTCAGCATGAAAACTGTTATCCACATTGTTCCCCTCCCTGTTGGATACTACCTTCTTAACAGCAACTGTATCCCGTCGTTAAGACTGCTTTGTACACGGTCCCACGAGCTCCTCTTCCAATTGCAAAGCTCTCATCAATATTTTCAGCCACCACCTTACCATCACCATCTCCACTACGTCTACTGCCTTGGTATTAGTTCAACACCCGGTTGTTGTGGTACATTAGAACAACCAATTTCTCAAAGAATATACTCATATTTGAAGGACTCCTAAATCTGACAAATTTATCATTTGATCAAAAAAAAAAAAAAAAACCTGCAATAGACTTAATTAGGTATGATATCAACCCAAAATAAAACATAAAATACTCATATATATTTTTTCCACACAAAAGGGGACAATAATACTTAGATACTCGACACATGAAGTGGCCCAATAAAAATAGTCCACATTTCATATCTAAAATCTCTCAAACACTTGGTATTTTTTAACCAAACACTCATTATTTTCCTCATCCCAATCCTTCTATTTTTCATCGACTCCATCCCCTCTTCCCAGCGTCGGCAACCCCAATCTTATCCAGCGAAACCATCTTCTTCCTCCCCTCTGCTATGGGTCTTCATCATAACACACCTATATAAAACAAATAACAATATCCTTTCTTTGCCATGAATTCCACTACCAAAATACCTCCCTCGAACCTTTCACTCACCGAGGGTTATGTGTTCGGAGATTTACAAGGACAGGTGTCATTCCTTAATTGTACCACATAGTAAGTTCAGTATACTGTATCCCGACCGGTCAGGACCTAAGTATAGTCCCACAAAAATGTATGGACTTTAGACCACCAACACAAAGACCCAAAGCCATAGAAATTACCCCCCCCCCAAAAAAAAAAGAAAAAAAACCGCTGTCTATATAAGCCTTGAAAATTTGATGGCACCGAAGGTCTCAGGCGCATTGCATGACCTATCTACCTAACCTACTCATCCACCCGCCACATTCTTCTCTGCTCGATCAGAGGCTTAGAGTTCATCCATATGACCGAAAACCCAACACTCTATTTTTGGAACCCCAAAACCAAAAAACCACCATCGGATATACACAAAACACAACACACACACTCCAATGGATCACCCAAAACACTCCTCTCTCGGATTACATCTTACCTTCCTCTCTTTACTCTTGGCTTGCGTTGTTTATCTTTGCATATGGTTGTCTTCGTCCTCTCTCATAAACCCTCTCTTTTCCTTTCAGAAACATGACGTCGA